GTCGTGCGTACCTCGATAAACTCGTTTCGTGTGTGTAGCATAGCCCGGTCTATATGTACGTACGCAGTCACGAAACGATTTGTGCGAGCAGTGCACCGAACGACGACTTTTCCTAAATATATATCTATACGTCTATCTATCTACTACACGGCGCAAGTATGTACGTCTATTATCGTCTCTTTTTGTGCTCATCTCTCTCCCAGCGCGCGCGTGCAGTGTGCAATGCAGTTGAGGTGCGGGAAGAGGCGGGAGGGGGCGAAACAGCAGCAGCAACGTTGCTGCTCCTTATTTTCTTCTCCTTTTTTTTTACTTTACTTTACTTTTTTTTGCCTCCCACGGCTCTCCTGCACCCACCGCACCACCCACCCTCTTTCACTCTCTCTCTTCTACCAAACCCGGAACGATGTGAACGCGTACGTACGTACGTACGTATAACCCGCAAACTGCCAACAACGACTACTACTACTACGACTAGCAGCCAGCAGCCAGCAGCACTACGAAACTCGCACATGCAGTTTGTGAGTTATAGGATTATTTTGCTGGGATACACGCCTACCACCTCTACTCTCGACTGTGTGTATGTGTAGCGGCCGCTTTCGCCTCTCGTATAATATTTGTGTATATGGAACTAGCTGCGGTATATACGTACTCTCCTGTCTGTGTACGTGTGCCTGCCTGCCTGTTTCGAGCAGCGGCGGCGCATCCTCCTACTCGCCTACATATACGTGTATACGGTATATACCACGCTGATATTTTAATGGAGCAAACGACAGGGAATAAACGCCAGTGTCGACGTATTTGTGGCTTATTTGATGCATCCCATTACTATATTTCGCTCGCTCGTTCGCTCGCTCTACGCTCGTGTCTGTTTCGCGCCAGCCGACGCTATGCTAGAATATGCGCCGAGGATGCTCCCCCCTGCCGCCGTCGTTTCAATGAATTATTATTTGATGTTTGTGCGTCGTTTAAAGCCGCCTCTCTCCCCCGCGCGCAGACCGACCGACGCAATTCAGGAAAATTGAATCATTAGTTTTTGCCGCGCCGCCAGCCGAATCGCAATTCATCATGTTTTGGCTTTTTATACTTTTTTTTCACTCGCGTTCACTCTTTATTCTTCGATAAAGTGTGTGCGTGTGTGTGTGCGCGTCTGTTTTTTCATACGTGCGTGCGTGCGATGATGATCACCGCCGCAACATGCGTAAACGTTTTTTCGCGCATCAGAAGATTTAAATGTTATTTTCGCCAGAAGTTTGACGTGTTAATTTTACGGGAAAATTCTTTGGAAAATGTGCGATATACAAAGCAGCGTACGTTATACCGAAGCTGTATGCTAAATTCATTTATTTCGTGTCAAGCGAGGAGAATTTCTTTATTCACAAACGATTTATTCGAATAATCAATTTTCAATTAAGAGCTTTGGTTTTTCAATCGTTCAACTTTGTATGGTACAGCTATATAAGTACCTGCTTTGTTACGAACAAAAATGTCTTCGATCCAATTTTCAACAAAGCACCTATCAATCAATTAAAGGCGTGCAGGCGTCTTGTCAATTTTTTTATCATTATAATTCCTCAGGATTTTCCGCTTTTAACGTTTTCACGTAATTTACGTTTTTCTAGGATAGGATTTTCTTGCACTGAAGAAATTGTAATTTTCAAACAGAAGCCATTGAACCATCAACCGCATCAAAATCATTCATTTTTCATCCTCATGTTTGGATTGCACAAGAGCCCACCGTATTTTTTGGTTTGAAAATCATGACTGAGTAATCTTTCTTTCTTGCATGAATATTATTTATTTGCAGTGAGTTTCAAACTAAGAAATAGCAGGTAGAAAAATCTGCACAGGACATATTTAATGTGAATCAGACAAAATGAAAAAATTAAACTTTGAGGGTGTTTTTAGAAAACATCTTCAAAATTTAAATGACGCTCGATTAAATTTTATCAAACTAGACCAAGTGAGAAACAAAAAACCAGTCATTTCAACAACCAGTCATCCGTATGCGGCTGGTTGCAATAATAATTACAGTGGTAATCACCACCGCGATAATTATAATCGCAATTATAACCATAGCAAAAATTACCGTGGTGGATACGAAGGAGGTTATGATTATTAATGTTGTTTATCACTGTAAAATGTATTAATGACAAATAAAATTTTTTTTAAAATAGTGGTTTCATTTTTTTGTATCTTAGAAAAATAATGATGTAAAAATCTTTCATTAAAGTTCATTGAGCCCACACACCCATCAGTTAAAACCAATTTTACTCGGTCGAAAATCAATCGTAACTGGTCGTGGCAGTCAGGATATAAGACAGGAATAATTCATACGTATGGTCAGTAGAAAAATCAGATCATACAAACGAGATACCTAGATATCGATATTACAATCGATGATCCTGTACCTGTGTCCTGTTAGATTATTAGTTCTAGTTCCTTTAGCGACCTGGCCGTCATTTTGATAGTACTCATACGAAGTATCAAATTATAGACAACAGCAATCTTCTCGAATTTATGTAATTGTAATTTTCAAAGAGACATCATTGAACTATCAACGATCAAAATTGCAACCCAGGAAAAAAATGATCGAGCCCGTAGGTTGCACCGAACGAGCCCTTGTGCATAATTTATTCTTTATTTTACGCCATTTTATTTGATCTTCAACGTGAAACTTTTTATTCAAAGCGACCTATAGTTTCGATCTTTTACACGAGGTGGTTGCCATTGCAACCATCGATGTTTCAAAGAAGTGCACAAAATCTGGCCTCAGCAGTTTTGAATAATTCCCTTTGAAATTGCGTTACAAGTAAAACTTCTTTTTTTGCAAAAACATGAGTTAGCAAAAAAAAATATGAATAGAGTTAACAGAGAGTTGAAAAAAAGGTGAAAATTAAAGAGAAAACTGTTAGAATGTACTCATCAATTGATGTATTAGATGTGTTAAAAAAAAAAAGGAAAAGAAGTCGATGCAAAGGAAAATTCAAAATTAGTTTAAATGATGAAATTCAGATTGCAATTTTGATACAGAAATATTGTGACAATTATCCAGAAATTTCTATCGTTATTTTATTTGCAATGAAAAGTCAAGTTTAAATAGTGTCGATCTCGTGTAATAAGAACTGCAACGCAAATAAGATGCAATTATTTCAATCTCCTCGGTAATGATTGTACACTTAAACAACTAAGCTCATGTTTACCGAGAATTGAATTACTAAGTCTCTCCCTCTCTCTCTGCAGTTAGCCAACTAAATTTTCCTGACAATTAAATAAAACACAAATAGATTTCATTTACACAATTGAACAGTCTCTATACTGCTACGTGACTTCGTGTCTCTTTTTTCTGCTCCTTTCGTTCAATACCAGAGAGCCGTTATTATCGTTGACTTTTCAGCTCGAATGTAACGTAATTTCGAATTGAAAATATTACGTACCTATCTCTGCTATTGAATATTTGAGTTAAAAAAAATGATTAATTTTGAAGGATTCGTGGATGCCTTTTTTCGCTTCCTCGTCATTCGTTTCTTTGAAGCTACAAAACCATCATCGTCTCTCCTACTAAGGATGCTTCAACGATGCGGGACGGTTTTAAATTTAAATCGACAGCATCTACTCCAGATGCACATTTTTCGTCGATTAAAAGCGACTGATGCGCGATATGGCAAAAAAATCTTTGCCGGAAAATCACAAAAAGTCAAAGCTAGTTACAGAAGCTGTAAATTCCTCTGACGCACGAAAAACGTTAAACGCAGCTCCGCGACGACAATCGCACGAGTTTACGATGAAAACTGCCTCGACGATTAGCGCGAACGCGATATAAATTTTTTTCTACCCTCGACTTGTACGTACGTACAAATGAAAAGTTTCTTTTGCCCCACGCCCGCGTCATATCGAAAGTTCGGTATTATTATAAAGCTCGTCGTCGTCGTTGACGTCGAGGTGAACTAGTGTAGCAGTAGCTTATATGTAGGACACGAAGCTGCTGCTGCTGCTGTAGCCGAGCAAGTTTTTTTTCTTCTTTTTTTTTTGCTCTCTCATTCTCTATTATTATTTTTATACCATCGAGGTATATAATACAACAACGACGGCGTCGGTGGTGGTGGCGAGGAGCGAGAGAATTAATGATTTCGGTCAACGAGTGTGTAAGTTGCTATATAATGTACAGACACACCAGTCGAGTATCAGCAACAGACTCTCTCGCGCGTGATTTATTATATATCGCCCTCTAAATATATATCCCTCTTTCTATATCTTCATCGCATAACGCGTTTCTAAAACGTATTCGGCTATATCTTTGCGCGCGTATCCTTTTTATTATATACGAGCGATTCATCGATGTTTTCTGCAGCTTTTATGAGGCGCAGAGTTGGCTACCTACCTACCTACCAACTACATTTGATTGCCTGCCCAAGTATAACTTTCTCTCTGACATGACATTTCTAAAACAGCCGTTACCCCGTGCCTAGACGCGCACGAGGTCTATATCTGTAGTGTCGGGCGCACTCGACCAACTACTACAACTCATATGTATATGTGTGTGTACGAATGTGCAAGTGCGCACATTTGCGTACGTGTGCGTGTGTCTACGCAAGTACGCGCCGAGTACTGACCATCGGGTGTACGTGTGTGTTTGTGTGTGTGTGTGTGGAAGGGTCGCAGAGCTAGGCAATAATAGCTAGCTGCAGTGTGCGCGGTGCTCCTGACAGCACGCATTTACATGGCCCTCCGCTACATATATATGAAGGGACGTGGGCAATATTAAAATGTAAATATACGCGTCGAGTCGTCGTCGCTATTTTTCATAGTGGTAGGCTTTGGCTGGCGTACTTTTTTTTTATGCGAATATAATGCCTATCATACAGGCTCACAGAGGTGCTAAGAGCACGACCGGCTATATTTGGCGAAAGAAAGGCAAAGGGCCACGGAGAGATCACTGCGTTGGATAAATGGATAGCTAGAGCTAGGGTATAGTAGTACTAGCCGAACCATAAAATACGTACGAGAGAGCAGAGTAGTAGTGGCGCGAGCACGAGGCTATCCTGAATAATAAGCAGCTATAAATCGAGGAGCTGGAACTCGGCGCACTGGTATGGCCTTGTCAGCCCAAGCCGACGACGACGTAGACAAGAGAGAGAGCTCCTGCTCTCTCTCCGGTGTGCTGTAGTAGTAGCAGTAGTAGGAACAAGAAGATCTTGCACCACTACTGCGGCTTACAACAACTAGCCCGCAAGTTTCAAACGAGATCGCGTTGATGACGATCAGACACTGAGGATAAAAAAAAAGACTCGTAGCCGCATGATTATTAGCGGCGGTTGTAATGTAGCACTGATAATGCTGCAGGCGTGTCACTGAACTTTTTGAACTCTTTTTTGAACTTGCAGCAGCAGCGACGAACAACAACAACAAACAACGGCAACTTGAAAAAACACACAACTTCGGCGTTAACGCGGAAGAAAGGGGGTGAATGACATAAAACTGCACTGTGACAACAATAGGCTTTCTCCTCTCTCTCTCACTCACTCACTCTCTGTGCGTAGCTGTAATTGAAAGCTCCGGGTTCGTTGAAAAAAAGGGTTTCGAGGAAAATCACGCGCACTCCTACGGACGAGCTTTTTACGCGCGAGCTTGCAGCAAGCTCTCGTGCGCTCTCGTGCGCTGCACAGCGCACAATTTCTCTTTTACAACGATATATATGTATATATATCGAAACACACGCGCGACGGTACCGGATCGCTCGCGCAAGCACTACTGGCGCGGGATCGTCGTGTGTAGGCAGTAGAGCGCGCCTGTTTCCCGGGCCGGCCACCCTCGATGGCGCCGCGTGTGCCGTAGAGCAGCAGCAGCAGCAGCAGCAGTGAGTAGAGCACAGAGCGCGAGGGGGTGGCGCGCGCAGCAGTACCACTACCACCTCCTGCTTTCATCCGAATGGCACAACATCCCTTTTACACACGTATATATACGGAGCCCTGTGTATATACATAAGCTTATATAGAGCTATGTGTGTGTATGTAACGATGCGGACTAGCACGCGAGGCGCTACTCCACGAGAGAGAGAGTCAGAGAGCTGTTTTTCACAGGATCCAAATTCGTAGCTCTCTCTCTGCGCTACGCGCCGCAGCTACGTATATTCGATTGACGCGTTAATTGGCCGTCCTAATGAAAAAAAATCATACTCGGCGCTCGCCAAACTCTCGATAGATATACGTTTCACACTCGCGCGGACGTTGTTTTCAAGGGACGTACAGAGCATTGTAATGTTTGGCTTTGTCGCGCGCGTATATAATCGAGCACGATTATTTAGTCGCGATAAATAACATTGTCGCGGATTTCGTATATACAAATGTAGGTGTTTGAATCGAAAATAACAATGCGATCTCTGTATATAAAATAATTATAATTCGCGATACAAGAGCGACGGTCGTGCACGAGAGCATATTCAACGTAATTTTATAATGTAATTATATACACGATATGCATACGATAGGGAAAATTCGCCTCTTCGCCATCACGACCTTTTGTGAAGTTGTTATCGCAGGCGCAACTGCAACTGTGTATCATAGTTTTCAATTGAGATGCGCACCGAGGTATAGACGCGTGTATACAGTAGCATCGCATCAGCATCAGCGGCAGCAGTTGATTATTCGGTTGCGTATATATGCTATATCGTATACTCTATCTCGATGGTCGTTGTCTGTAGTGTATACATATTAAATGCATAGAGCTCCACAATGAAGAGGATCGCTGCTCTGTGTGCCCAACTACTGCTGCTGCTACTACTGCTACTGGCAATGTACCATTTTCATCGTGGCTGCAACGCAACGGGGCGGCGTCAATTTCGGGCGAATCGAATCCTATACAGCACATATATATAAGCGTGTATAACAGAGAGAGAGGCCAAACGAGCGACTCAGTAGTAGTAGTACTTAGGTAGGGTATAAGGAGTAACTAGTAAGGGTTATACGGCTATACATGCGCACTTACAATGTTACATACACACACATTGTCTCGGGGCCGGTTCTGTGTTACACGGCTCCCGCGCAGCCATTATATTATAGAATCGCATGATGCCGCGTATAATTCAGCTTATAATACGTATACATTCTCGCATTTGCGCCCCGTTCTCTCTCTCTCTCTCTCTCTCTCTCTCTCTCTCTGGGCTGGCGCTCGATTTAAAGTAGCATTATAATATACAGCTCCGCAGCAGCAGCAGCGGCGCCGAGCGATGATTCTTATCATCAACCGCACACACATACATTGCGCACCGCTTCTCATTTTCTCTATATGTATAATACGTTTATTACACACGTACATACACACAAATATGTATATATAGCATATGTATATATCAAAGATATAAATTCTACAACACGTGTTTTGCTATTTCGCTGCCTCTCTCTCAACGGTGAGCTTGCGCAAGCTCGCTCGCTCGCGCTCGAGTAAGTATTATTTCGAGAAATTTTATTCCGGAGAGCTTTATCTATAATTACACAAAAGTCGAGCAGCAGCAGCAGCAGCAGCAGCGGCAGTGGACTCGAGACATAAGTCGCTTTTGCTTTTCGCGAGCTGTATGTATGCGCGCGCGCGAGCGTTGTTATTGCCACGCAAAACGTCGCAGCTAGATTATCTTAATGGCGTTGCAACTCTAACATTCTCTCGTGTTGCTGTGCTCTCTCTCTCTAGCTAGCTCTATGGTACGAATGCATATTTCTTTTTTTACGTATTATATCGTGTAGAAAAACAGAGAGAGCGAGAGAAAAGAAGGTAGAAGAGAAAGTATACTTGCAGCAGAGAGTGAAAAAAAATTTTATACAAGGAGAGATGATGCCGTCGAGTATATAGCGCGCGTAGGGGAGGAGGCAACACTGGACACAACACGAGACCGACGACGGTGCGCCGTACTTAATCAAAAATTTAATGCGCTGCGCTAAACAGCAGCAGCAGCAGCTTGTGCGTAAAGTAGTGTATCTTCTCTCGAGCTAGACTATATAAGAAATAACCAAGAGCCTACTGCGAAGTAGAGTCGAGTCGGCTACACTTATACTGCACGCTGGCCAGCCTAGACATTATGTTTGTATGTGCTGTGTGTGTACGCCTGCACACCGACTTATGCTACTTTTCTTATTACGGACGAGTCGAGAGCGCGTCGCGCACGTAGGTAGGTTACTTTCTCTCTAAGCAAAAGAGAGGCAGAGAGAACCTTAACCCGAGAGCCTGCGACTCTCTCGCTCTGCGTGTATGTATAATATGCCGCATGCATATAATGCGCTGCAGCGCAGCGCAGCTAGCTAGCCGCAAAGCCTTTGTGGAGCTTACAACTGATATAACGTCCATCGACGTCGTCGTCGTCGCTGCAGCATACATATATACACAGAGAGTGGCGCAGTAGCAGTAGCAGCAGCAGCAGCAGCTTCACTTTGTACACCTCTGCTCTTCATCGTTGACGTCGTCGTCGTCGTCGTCGTCGTCACAACCGCACGTACTATCTACACGTGCACTGCAAAGGGTTCTCTCTCCGTCTCTAAGACTTAATCCGTCAATAAAAAATTCACAATCCTCGACGACGACCTACCCGCAAGACTCATACACACTTTCCTGTATGGACGGCGATCCTTGTAACGCGAAGCCCGCAGAAAATCTGCCGCTGCTGCACGCCAGCGTTAAATATTACACGCGAGAGAGGGTGCGAATGAATGCGCGTTTATTATTTCATTATATACGTACATGCGCGCGCGAGATGGATTCCCACGGGGACCGATCGCGGCAGCAGCAGCATACATACAGCAGCAGCGAAATAAGCTTTGCATGAAAATCCAAATGAGTTCCTGCATACATGCATGCGACGACCTGTCCTGTGCGCGATGCGATGTGTTACGTGCCACCTATGAAATTTTACTAATGAAAGTAACGGTACGTGCAGTGTAACTGCTGCGAGAAAGAGAGGATGATCGTCGTCACTCTGTAAAATTCAAAATGTTTTTGGATTTTCGATATTTGTGTATATGAAATTTATCGATCGACGAGAGCTCCATTTTTTAATCATTTCATTCTGCATAATGTAGGGTATTGTGCTGTGCTGACGGGGAGAATGAATTATCGCGTAAAAGTCACGTTTTTACGTCACGCCGATTCGTATAAAGCTTGTGTACGATGGATGTTACATTAATAATCTGGATTTAAATTCGACGACTCGCTTGTTATGAAAGTATATAATATAACGATTGGCAGAACATTTTAAAGAGCTACGGTAGTCAGTAAAACTTTTTTTCCAACTTTCTAATGCGCAAACTATATAATGACTTTATTAAAAAAAGTAGCTATACGGCAATTATAATTATAATTAAATATCACGTATATTATAAAGTGCCAATTCCCCAATGTTTAACTGCAATTAAAACCCGTACTAAGCAGCTTGCGCGTGTTTGTATTTTAATAATGTTCAACTCAAATTGATAAAAGCGCGCGCGCGCGCTCTCAGCTCCACACAATAAACTTTATCAAAAGCGAGAACGATTGCATAATTATAATTATTGGGTAAAACGAATGATTTTTCCACGCAATGCGCAACATTCTCGAGCCAACGCTAAAAAGCTCAATTTCTCTCGCTCGCTCGCTGATAAAAGTGTACACACGAATATAATACCTCGCGAACAAAAGGTCGGCAGCACTTGTGTAACTTTCGGGAGGCGAGCGGGGGAGGGAAACGCGAATTAGCTTTATCCGGCGCAGTATAGATAGATACTCTCGGCGAATAAATAACACTATATTCCCGAAGATATGCATGCGCGGCTCTCTCTTCTTTCTCTCGCTCTTGCATATGCATTAGGTTCGTCGTTAAAGAAATCTCATTCGCTCAGAGAAAGAGAGGGATAAAAGAGGGAGGAAGGGGTGGGTGGGGTGACGTACAAAAAGATACACTGCCAGCTGAATGACAATTAAATTCCTAATTGAAAGGGTCGTTCGATTTGCATGCCAGCGTGCACCGAGAGAGAGAGAGTATAGCAAGCACGGTATGCCTCGGAGCTGTAAAAGTATAGGTGCTGCGCGCACGCGACGAACTACCGCTGCCGCTGTTGCTGTTGCACGGAATGGCTCTGGTATATATACGAAAAAAAAAGAGAGGAAAAAGATAAAGAAAGAAAGTATAAAAAAGAAGAGCGAGAGGAGGAGGAGGAGGAGGCGAATAAAAAAAAACAGATAGTCACGCACGGGAAGCACCGGGTATATATGCAGCGGCAGTAAAGGAAAGAGGGACGAGCTACTCCCGATAAGCAAAGTGTAGAATATGCCACCTATAACTGCAAGCTCTCCCCCGCCTGCATCGCTACCGTATTTATGCATATAATCAGTTTCGTGTGCCGCGCAGCGGCGGCGGCGTAGTATCGTATATATGCATACAGGAGTAGCGTGATCTGTGCATGCAGGCCTCGCTGCGCCGCTTTGACGCGCGAGCTTTTTTTCCCTTCATCTTTTCGTCGCAAGCTCGCTCGGTGGCGCGGCGATGGCGGCGACGACGACGCTTTGTTGCACAATCTATCGTTCTCTCTCTCTCTCTCTCTCTTGAATTTTTTAACTCGTTCCTTTGTAAAAGTATTTCGCGTGGAGCTCTTGACTCGGTGCATCAAAAAAAAAGGGAAAAGAAAAAAAATAAATCGTTATAAAGCTAGACGCACACACACACACACAGCAGCAGCTCCACGTGTGGTATTTAAAGCTCA